GGCGGGGGGAGGGTTGGCACAAAAACTTAGGTAGGGGGCAGAGAATCAGAAAGGGGGTGAACAGAGATGCAGGGGCTACACTGACTCAGAGAGAGAGAGAGAGAGAATTGGGTGGAGAGCAGATGCTCAGAGTGACAGGAAGATAGTAGAATCCTGTGGTTGGGGAACAGCGGGTGACAGAAATGAGAGAGGGACACCCATAAAGAGGGCTGGGGACCCAAAGGGCCAGGGTGATAGTGACAGGGTGAGGAGTGGGAGACGGTGACCCACAGACAGGCAGGACCACGTGTCTCCTGCAGCGCTGACAGGGACAGCTGCGGCCTAGCTGGGTAACCTGAGCCCCCCACCCCCCCTCGCTGTATTTATAGCCCTGGCCTGGCCTGGTCTTCTGCCCTTGGCTCCGAGTTCCAGGGACAGGAGGTCATAGGTGCGTGTGCTGGAGCGAGTTCCTTCCACCCCTGTCCAGGGCCTCCATACTGTCATCCACTCTCTCAGCAAAGGCTCCCCTTCTGGGCAGAAACTCCCCAGAATCCAGTCCCCAATCCTTCCATGGCAGGGGTCTCTCCTCCCGGATGGGTCCTTCCAGCCCCCACAGTTGCCTTAGGCACCCCCCAACTTGGCCCACTAAAAGTCTAGCCATTACCTTTGCAGCTGCCAAACATGAACTTGTTGGCAGTACCAAGTCAAGTCCTTGGCCCCCACTCCTGGCCAAGTTGAGACCCCTTCACCCACCCCTTCCCCAGTGGGGAGGAGGAGGAACAGGAGGGGAGGGGCAGGCGGGGACTGACCCAGAATAACTCAGGGCTGAAAGTAAATTTAGCCGCAGAGAGGGGAGGAGAGAGACCCTATTGGCTGGGAGGTGGGGAGGGAGGGGGGGGGGGGGGGGGGGGGGGGGTGAGGGGGCTCCTGAGACTGCCTCAGAGGGGTGTCCAGCAGTGAGGGCCGGAGGAAGGCAACCAGGCAGAGGCAGTGGGGAGCACGGCAAGGGAACGACACAGGCAGAAAGAACCAGGACCCAAAAAGGGGCAAGGACCCCAACACTCATCTGGCTGGAGCTGGCCCTGGGAGAAGCTCTGCTGCCTGTCTGTCCCCATGGGCCACCGTGGGCCATGGCTGCACGCTTCTCTCCTCTGGGCTGCCATGGTCAGCCTGCTCTTCCCCCCAGCCATGACCCAGCAGCTGAGAGGGGCCGGGCCGGGCCCCAGCAACTGGAACAACAATGCAGGAGTCGTGGGGCCCTCAGAGGATGTGCCAGATGAGTTTGGCCACCCCAGGCACAGCCACCAAGGCCACAGAGATGAGAATGAGGATGTCTCCAGGGAATACAGTCACGGGCTCCGAGACCACAGGTACCAAGACCACGAGGTCAGAGAAGAGAATATCCCTGATGAAGAGGTCTTCACAGAGCATGCTCGGCAGGCCTGTGGGTCCAGAGGCCACGGGAACGAAGATGTGGATGATTCAGATGAGCACGGGCACCACTTCCCCAGCCACAGAAGCCACAGCCATCAGGACGAGGTTGAGGATGAAGTTGAGTCCAGCAAGCATCGCCATCATAGCATCAGGCATGTGCCTGGAGGCCACGGAGAAGAGGACGATGAAGATGAAGAGGAAGGGGTGGTCTCCACTGAGTATGGACACCACACCCATAGGCACCGAGGCCACGGGAGGGAAGAGGATGAAGATGGCTCAGATGAATATCCCCATCATGTCCCCAGCCACGGATACCGAGGCCACGGAGAAGAAGAAGGCGATGATGATGATGATGATGATGATGATGTTGTCTCCACTGAGTATGGACACCACGCCCACAGGCACCGAGGCCACGGGAGGGAAGAGGATGAAGATGCCTCAGATGAATATCCCCATCATGTCGCCAGCCACGGACACCGAGGCCACAGAGAAGAAGAAGGTGATGATGATGATGATGATGATGATGATGATGATGATGTTGTCTCCACTGAGTATGGACACCACGCCCACAGGCACCAAGGCCACGGGAAAGAAGAGGATGAGGACGTCTCAGATGAACACCATCATCATAGCCCCAGTCCTGAACACCGAGGCCACAGAGAAGATGAGGAAGAGGATATGTCCACTGAGTTTGGACGCCAGATCCACAGGCACCGAGGCCATGGGAGGGAAGAGGATGAAGATGTATCAGATGAACACCATCGTCATACCCCCAGTCACAGACACCTAGGCTATGGAGACGAAGAAGATGAGGATGAGGATGTGTCCACTGAACACTGGCACCAGATTCCCAGACATACTCACAGCCTTGGAGATGAGGACGAAGAGGAAGAGGAGATCACAGTCAAGTTTAGCCACCATGTTGCAAGCTCCCAATACCCAGGCCCCAAGAGCACTGAGGAGGAGGACTTTCCAGATGAATATAAGTCAGCAGTCCCTGACCATCACCACCACGGAGGCCCCAAGGATGAAGATGAGGATATCTCTGACAAGCTTGGCCACCACGCTCCCAGCCACAGGCAACAAGGCCACCAAGATGAAGGGACTGGCCACAGAGGGTCCCTGGAAGATGAGATCAGCCACCAGCCTCCAGAACACATGGGGGTCAAGGATAGAAGCCATTTGTGGGAGAGAGATTCTGAGGAGGAAGAGGAGAAGGAGGAGGACCAGAGCTCCCAGGAGGAAGATGATGAAAGTTCAGAACAGGGAGAAGAAGGCACCCGCCATGGCAGCCTGGACTGGAAGGATGAAGACGATGATGAGGAAGGTCACGGCCTCAGCGTGAGCCACGAGGAGGAGGAGGAGGGAGACGAAGAGGAAGAGAAGAGGGAAGGGAGGGCTGAGGTTCACGCCCCACTGAGCCAAGACCACCAGGAGGGGGAAGAGAAGGAGGAGGAGGAGGGGCTGGAGGAAGAGGAGCTCCCCTTCACCATCATCCCTAACCCACTGGCCAGGAGGGAGGTGGCTGGAGGTGGCTCCAGTGAGGAGCAGAGTGGCGAGGACACGGGTAAGTGATCTGGCCAGGTGGGGGCAGGGAGGAGCAGAGTCAAGCTGCTTCACTGCTGCTCTCCTGTCCGCACAGATCTGCAGGGTGCCCAGGAGTACGGGAACTACCAGCCTGGGTCCCTGTGTGGCTACTGCTCTTTCTGCAATGTAAGTGCCCAGCCCAGGTCCATCCTCCAGGCTGTCCCTGGAATTTATCCTGGGGCTCTTAGGTGCCTGGGGACAGCTCTGAGCACAGGAGGGGCAGGGGCAGTGCCAGGTGAAGAGAGGCACTTCCGGGGCCATGTAGGGGGCAGACTGGAGGCCAGGAAGCTGGGGAGGAGGCTGGGACAATGGTCCAGGAGGGAGTGAGGCCTGAGCTGTACCTACAGATATGGGGTTGGAGGGGAGGGTCCGGCAGAGGGGGCAGGTGGAGTGGGGCTGGGGCCTGGCAGGCTGTGGGGAGAATAGGGAGAGGGCATGAAGAGAACACCCACAGGCCCAGCCCACAGTGACAGGGGGATGTGGTGTCACCTTGCAAGAGGGGAACAAGGGGGAAGCTGCTGAGCTCAGTGTGGGAGGTAATGAGCGTGGGGAGTTGGGGAAATGTCCAGGGGGCAGGGTGGAGGACTGGCGGGTGGCTCCCAAACGGTGTCCCCAAACCAGAATCCTCCTGTTCCCAGAGATGCGCTGAATGTGAGAACTGTCACTGCGACGAGGATAACATGGGGGAGCACTACGCCCAGTGCCAGGTGACACTTTCCCCGGACCCAGGTTCCACCAGGCCCCAGGATGGCCGGGGGCCCTCTGGGCACCCAAGTCCCAGATCCTGGCCTCTGCGCTCAGACTGACCCAACCCTCCATCCCTGGTGCAGCCATGAGTCCACACTCGATCCCGCCTCTGACCTTAACCTCCGACTCGGGCCCCCGTCCGGCACCCGCCCCCATCCCGGCTCCGCCCCGACCATGTCTTACAATCCTGTCTCTCCCCATCCCCGCCCCCAGCACTGCCAGTTCTGCTACCTCTGCCCGCTGGTCTGCGAAACTGTCTGCACTCCAGGTGAGAGCGGGCGGAGCCCAACCGGGCAAACTCCGTGGAGGCGGAGCCAAAGCCGACAGGCGGGCCCGGGAGGTTGTGGGGCGTGGCTAGGCGCGGAAGCATGGCCAAGGCTGGGAGTCTGCGGGTGGGGCGGGGCGCGCGCGGAAGGGCGGGGCCTGGACCGAGGGAGGGGTGGGGCTAGAGCTGAAGGCTCCTTAGTAGGCAAGGGGTGGAAGGTTGAAGGGTGGGTCTAGAAACGAACGGGCGGGGCCAAAGCAGGTAGAACTGGAAGAAAAGGGGCTTCTGGAGAGTGGGAACACCAGGAGCAAGGAGAGAGGCGCTGGACCTTGAAAGGAGTCCCAGTAGAAGGAATTCAATTTAGGGAAGGAATTAAGAAAAAGGGGGGCGGAGCTAGTTCTGATTCCGGATTCGGTGAATCAGTGGCCCCCTAATTTCGCCTGTGGTGTACCGCTCAAGCCTCTTATCTTTTCTCCCATAGGAGGCTACGTGGACTATTTCTCCTCCTCCCTGTACCAGTAAGTGTGTGGAGGGGGGCAGTTTAAGGGCCCTTAGAGAGGCGAGGTCCCGCTGAGTGATTGGACGACCCTGGGACTCCATTCCCCTGTCGGTAAAATGGGCAGGTTAACATCTCCATCTAAGCGCCTGGGGTGAGCTCTGGGCACTTGGGCTGACTAACCTCTGCGTCCTCTCCAGAGCCCTGGCGGACATGCTGGAAACTCCGGAACCCTGACCCAGCGGTGCGGCTGCGGCGCAGACGCACCTCCCTGGCCCTCCAACCCTTTTCCACGAGCCGTATTTATTGAATTGCGTTATGAATAAACATGCTCCCCGAAACCTGTCAGGCGTGGGGGCTGGATTCTCGGAGCACCAGGGAAGGCGCGGGTGGGGACTGCGGACTTGGACTCATGGGTCTGAGGGAGGAGTGGTCTGGCCTCCCAGGTTCTTGAGGAGGTCGGTTTTGCTAAGGTCCTGACAAATAAATCAGTCAACACGGGAGCTTTTTGAAACAGTTCTCTTTACCCGTGATCACTGAGTGACACCTGGGGCAGGGAGGCCGACCAAGAGTCTCGGGCGAGGGCTCCCCCACCGTCCTCCCTCCCCCCACGCCACGCCGCCCAGTGGCATCGTGGAAAGAGGATTCTCCCATGCAAACCCCGGAGCCGGAGGGGAACCGGGAGCGCAGTTCAGCACCCCCTACCCCCGGGGCACGGACACGGCCACAGCACGGGGGGCCGAGAGGCCCCGGGGACACGAGACACTGGGGAGGAAGGGGGGACTCCGCCCGCAGCTGACCCCAGGCACCGGCGACCTGACGCGGCGGGGCGGGGATGAGTGGCACGTGGGGCGAGGCTTGTAGCAGCGAGTCCCCCCTCCCCTCCTTTCGGACGAAGAAGGAAGACTTGGGCCCCGCGACTGGGGAGGAGAAAGGGGAGCGGGCAGCCTCTCCTAGCATGCGGCCCGGGAGGGAAGCCCCGCTCCCTTCCCGCGGGGAAAGGGCACCCATCTCCCATCGGAAACTGATCAATAAATTACAAAGTAGAGAAAAGGGAGGTGGAAGTTTGGGGCGGGATTTCTTCCTGCCCTCTTCGTTCCCCCTCTCAGTCCAGTTCGTGTGGTTTGGTCCAGGCCCAGTCCTTTTGTGAGGCGGGGACACGCACTCCCCGCTCGTCTGTACAGATGGTCCGGTCCGCGGCGCGAGCTCCCCCGCCCGCTCTCCCCGGCGAGACCATACTCTGGGCAGGAGGGGGAACAGCCCAGCCTCTGGAAGATTCTTCCATCCGAGTGAGGTCACCTGCATTGACGCCGGGGCAGTATGTGGAGCAATGAAGATCCATTGTGCCGCCCCGAACCCCCAAGATCGCCCAGCACAGTCCTCACCTGGAGGCCTACACTAGCAGGAGTAGGTCCGGACCGAAACGCCGTCTGCCCGGGAGCTCCCAGAAGTCTGGCCTACAGGGAGAGCGAGCAGTGGTTTGGTCTGGTGCGCGCGTGTCTCACACACACACACACACACACACACACACACACACACACACACACACAAGGCAGGGTTTCTCTGATCTTCAACCCCAAGCACCCTCTCTTGGAGTTCCCCTCCCGAAATGACAACGAACGCTTGGCTCCATGCCGGGTTCCTTTCCTCCCCTTCCCGCAGCCTTGGATTCATCTAAGGTGCCGCAGGTGACAGTGGGCCAATTCATTTCCCACTTCGGAAAGGGGGTGCGGGATTAATCCATTCCACACCCGGAGGGAGTTGGCATACTGAGCAATCCATTCGTCATGGGTCGGGGAGAAAGGACTAGGCCATTTCAGAACCTGGAGGGAGGCTTCTGGAATGTAGAGTTGGTCCCTTTCCCACCCGAGCAAGGGGAAGGGGGGAGGGGCTGTCGCATCGGGGTGCCGCCCACCTTCGGGCTGCAGCTTGCGGAGAGGGAGCCCCGGAGATCCCAGGGCCCCCGCTGCGGCCGAACGGAAGTTGGGGGGCAACATCTCAGCTGAGTCGGGGGTTACGCCTCGGAGGTCCTTCTCTCGAAACATCTTCCGCCAGGATGGGGAGCGGCTGAAGGACTTGGCGCTGTCCTAGGTATAGGGGCCGGGCCGACGATGAGCAACCGGGGCCGGGTTCTGACTCAGCCACTTCCTTTGACTCCACCCTTCTCGGGTTTCAGCTCGCCTTTAACCCCGCCCCTGCCCTAGTCCCGCCTCCAGCCGCCTCCCGCCTGCAAAGTCAAGCCCCCACTCCCTCAGCTCAGACCCTGCAGGTGCCGCTAGGAGCTGAGCCTCCAGGGCTGGGGCTGCGCCCACCTCGTCCAGCCGCCTGTCTGTGCCCAGGGAGATGAGGTTGCTGAATTCCTTCTCCAGGAGCTGCCGGGCCTGGGGACGAGAGGTGGAAGGGTGGCAGCGTGCAGTCTGCGAGGTGGCGGTGCCCAGTGTGCCCCGGGCCGAGCCGCAGCTCACCTGCGCATTCTGCGTGGGGATCTGCAGGAGCAAGGCCAGGTCGGAGTAGTCGAAGGTCTCGTCCAGGGCCAGCAGCGCCCCGTGCACCCCGCTCTCCGTGAGGTTCGTAGCGAATTCCTTCAGTCCCAGCCCGGACACCCAACCCATGACCCGCTCATTGGACCACACCATCACGTCTGGGACAGAAGGGACTCTCAGCTGCCGGTCGGTCCAATTTAGCCCACACGTCACCGCCATTTCCTTTCCTGGCCACGCCCCCTGCGCTGGCTCCACCCCCTCGGAAAAGGCTCGGTGCTCCTCCTCCCCCCCCTTAATCGTACCTCCTCCCCACCAGCCCCAAACTCAGCCACCTGGCTTGGGGGGTTGGGGGGGGCTCTTCTACTCTTACTTACCTCGGATCTGGGTCTGACTCTCTTCCCGCCTCCGCTCCAAGTCCTTCCGGTCATAATTGAGCCGTTTCAGGCACATGATCCCATAATGCAGACTCACCCTGAACAGTGGGGAAAGTGGGGTCACAGAGAAGCCTTCACAACCCCAATGGCTGCTGCTTCGCCCCTCCCCACTGGCTGTGGTCCTTCTGGGAAAGGTTGGGGAGTTGTCCCACTGGGTCGGTTTTCTGGATTGCTGACCTTCCCAGGATTTGGGGTATTTTCAACAGGCAGTTCCTATTGGATAACCTGGACAGGGTATGGGGTTAACGAGCCAAGCTGTCTGAGGATTTGGACTTTGCCTAGTGGGCCATCTCATTGGCGGAAGGGGCACAGAAGTCAGGATTTCCTGAGAATCCGGGCTAAAGGGCCAAAGATAGTCCCAGGACGTTCCCATCACCAGTCCCACTGGCCAAAGACTCTCTGGGAGTGAGGCTTCCCCTTGGACTGTCCCCACTGGCCAGGCAGCCCCCACCTGTGGAAGCTGTCCACCATCTTGAGTTGGCCCCGGAGCTCCTTCTTGTTAAGATGATCTAACATGCGGGCGTCCACCAGCGACTCCATGAAGTAGCTGCGGTATTGGGGCAGCCCCAAGCTGGGTAGCCAGTCGTTCCCCACCCACTCGTGGTTCATGTCACCATATGCCAGGATCTGGGGCCATGGGCAGGTGGGGGAAGGGTCAGACCCTCTGACCCCTTCCCATGTATGTATGAGAGGGTTCACTCCAACCCCCTGACCCAAGGTGGTTCTTTTTCCACCCCACCTTAGGACATGAGTCAATCTCTGCTCAGGACAACGGACCAATCCAGGGGTCTCCTACTCCTTCATAATAACAGAATAGACCCTTGTCTAATAAAACCACGGCCAATAGACCCGCAGCATCACCATCACCTGTGCACCTTCCAGAACTGTAGGATCTAGGACCCCACCCTAGGCTACGGAATCAGAAGCTGCATTCCCACCAGATCCTTAGGTCACCGGAACAGTAAGGGGTGAGAGGCACTAGTCTAGCATTGTCCCAGCTCAGAACAGTGGGTCAGTCCAACATCGCTTCTCCCCCAAGTCAGGACAACGGATTCTTCCAGTGTAGTTCTCCCCACAACAAACGATAAGAGAGCCATCCATCACTCTTGCACGGTCCAAAAATACTAGTCTAATGCTACATCTGGCCCAGAACAATATTCTGGATCAGCCCAAAGTCCTTCACTCCCTTTAGCGTAAGGAAACAATGAACACCGGCCCCCGACTGGAAACCAAGACCCTAGTCCAACCTAGTTCATCTACCTCAGGCGAGTTCATGCCTCTCCCTTCTTGAGAACAAAGTGTTGCTCCTCCTCCTCCCCGACTTCTCAGCAGGACCTCCGGCCCCTCCCCAGTATGCTTCCCCCTTGGCCCCAGTACACTGGAACAGTCCCACTCCCCCCTCAATCATAGAGAAAAGGTCTCCCTCTAGTTACAGCAGTGGAACAGCCCCCGCAACCCCACGATAATGGAATGGCCCGAGCCCCACACTAACAATGGACTAGTCCAGGCTTTTCCACCGACCCCCACCAAGCCACAGTGAGACGGTCCAGAGCCTGGCTCCACGCAGCGCCCCCCGCGGTGATGATGGAACGCTCCCGCGGGGGGGGCGGGGGGGGCTTGGGGAAGGAGGGGCATGCATGCAGCGTGCACAACCTGTTCATGCGCCCACGTCCCGCCCCGCGCCCCCTACCTGCTCCCAGCTGATCTCCTTGGTCTCCTGACCCGTTAGTGGGAAAAGGGAAGAGAAGGGGTGGGTTAAGGGGCAGGCGGAGGAGGGCGGGAGGGACGAACGGACGGAGGAACAGCCAGAGATTCGCCCCCCCCCACCCCTCCCCAGGGAGAGTTAGTGCCACTCCCAAAGCCGCCGGCAGGGGTCACTCACAGGCTTGGTCGTGGCCGTAAGGGACTCCATCTCTTCGTGCGTCATCCACACGTTTCCTGTGGACTGAGGGGCGAGGGGTGTTATGGGGGTTGAGAGAAGGCTTCTGGATGGGGGAAGGGTGTTCCTAGAGGCCCAGGCCAGGTCCATTTATATACATTCTGCTTTCTGACTCAGGCCAGTTACTGCTCTGGGCCAGGCAATGAAAGAGAAACCGAATGATCATTTATTGAGCACCTGCTGTGTACCAGGCGAAAGAACATGGGCTTTGAGGTCGGGCAAGTTCAGGTTTGAATTGGGGCCCTACCCGGGTATTTTGCTGTGTGGCCTTGGGCACAACATCACCTCTCTGACCTCACACAGATGTATGTACAGAGTGACATTCAGAACGAGGTGGCTGATTCAGCAGTGGCGTGGGACAGAAGTTTGGGTGGGGGGTAAGGGATGTGTATTTGCATTTACTGAGCACCTGCCCCCAACAACCCCACGAGGTAGGACTTCATACATTGATTCAGACACTTATGTAGCTCCTCATGAGTGCCAGGCACAGTTGTAGGGTCTGGGATACACGAGGGGAAATTTGAAAATAGACTGAAGAGATGAAATTGACAATAATGGTCACGTTCTTAGGTATAAGGACGCGGTGGCTGCGTAGGAGAATGTTCTTATTGTTAGAAGATGCCCTGATGAAGTAATTTTGGGGGCTAACCAGTAATGATGTCCACAAATTACACTGGAGGGTCTCAGATACACACACAAACACACACAAGCAAACAGCAAGTCGGGCAAGGAGTTAACAATTGCTGAACTGGGCATGGCACACAGAAGTTTCGGTGCGGAACAAAGGGATAAACTATTAGAAGGCCATAAACACTGTGGGGAAAAATTAGGTGTTAATGTGATGGGGTGATGGGGCGAGTGACTAGTTTAGTTGTTGAGTTAGGGAGGCTTCTTGGAGGCGGTGACATTTGAGATGAGACCTCGGGGATGAGGAGAGACGGGGGGAGAAGTGCTCTGAGGAAAGGGAGCCAAAGAGTAGCACCAGCCAAGGAGCCGAGTCGGAGGTGGGTGGGGAGGGGGGGGTGCCCTCATCAAGGACTTCGTAAGGAACCATATGCTTTTGAATTTTTCTCCCAGATGGGGTCCTGTCTGTGTAAGACGGGACCGAGGTAGAGGGGACGCAGGGAGACCTGAGAAGGGACTCCCCCACCTCACGTCCCCGAGATAATCCAATCTAGGCGAGACACAGGCAGAGAGGGTCTGCGAGACAGAGCTGGAGTGAGCGAGGCCAGGATTGGCTAGTCTGAGGACAAGAGGCGGGGCCCCGAGGCGGCAAGGGCTGGGATTGGCCTGCAGACACTGACCGTGCGGGAGGAGGCGGGCGCTGAGGGCGAGGTGAGTGAGACCATCTCCTGGATGGCGAGGCGCAGCTTGAGCCGGTGCAGCGGGTTGCTGATGCCAATCTCCCGCTGGATCTCCGTGTCTGACAGGTTGGCCATGATGGCGCCGCTCTTGACGTTGGCCCGGCAGGCGGCCACATACCAAGCAGGCATGCCTACCCACAGCTGGGCAGAAGGAGGGAGGGAGGCGGGGAGAGGGAAGGAAGAGACACACACGGAGAGGCAGACAATATTGAGAGAGACGCCGGAGAGACAGAAGAAAAGGAGA